GTTTCTGGATTTTTGTTTGCTTTTTTTTAAGAAGGCGAATTTGATGCTGGTCACATTTCTAGGTGTAAACGTGCCATCCTGTGAGTGCTCAAGAAAGGAGACGTTGGTCCCAAGAAGGGTGTCCCTGGGCCCTGCCAGCCTTCAGAATAGATAGAAAAGACCAGAAGGGAACCCGCTGAGCTCATAAAGCCACCAAGGCCCAGCTGGCTGCTTAGGGAAGAGCTACACCTGGCTGATGTCCCGGCCGGGTCCCCACCAGCCTACAGGACTCTAGGACCCCAAGGCCTGGGGTGAGGGGAGGCGTGACCTAGAAGTCAGTCCAGGGCTGCATCTCTCACGGGTGTGCACACGCCTTCATCAGAGTCCCCGAGGGAGCTTGTAAAATGCAGATTCCCAGTACCGCCCAGATTCACTGACTCAGAATCTCTGGGGAAGCAGGCCCACAAACCTGCCTTTTTAACCAGCACTCTTGCCTCGTGCCCATCCAGACGCTAAGTGGAAGAATCCTTGCACCCTTGCAGCATTATTCACAATAGGCAAAAAGTGGAAAACAACCCAAACATTCATCAACTGAGGAATGGATAAACAAAATGTGGCGTATCCACACTGTGGAATATTACTCAGCAACAAAAGGGAAGGAAGTTCTGACACACGCTACAATGTGGATAAACCTGGAAAATATTACGCTCAGTGAGAGAAGCCAGACACAAAGGACCACATATTGCATGATTCCATTTATATGACAAGTCTGGAATCTACAGAGACAGGAGGCAGATTAGCGGCTGCCTGGGGCTGGGAGGGGGCTGGGAGACCGGCAGGCTGATGGCTGAGGAGTGAGAGGTAAAGCATCCTTGGATCCTCTCCCAGTCACTATCCGCCAGGCTCAGCTCTTTGGGGCAAGAGGATCAAGAAGCACCCAGATGGTGAGTGTGTAGGGAGCACACCCCCCGCCCCCCAAGGCAGGCAAGTGGGCTGAAGGTGGGCTGCCCCCCAGCAGTCACTGTCCCTGACCCTCGGCATCGGTCACCTTAGACTCTATTTGTCTTTCACCATAGCCTCCCGTTTGTGTGGCCCAGCCCTCCCTTGCAGATCTCCCAGAATCCTCTCGACGGCTCACGGGCTGGGTGGGGCAGGTTCTTACTGTCCTGTCTTCTGATGAGGAACCAGGATGTGGAGGGCCTTTGTGTGGCTCCTCAGAAAGGACCCCAGGAGCACAGGGGGTGACAGTTGGGCTTTGAGGAGATAAAGGCTAATTATGGGATTATACATATTGTCAGGCGATTTAAATCCTGTAGATAAACACGGTCTGGAAGCCGGGAGGAGGGCCAGCGGGCTGTGGGCTTGGTACGGGCGGGAGGGGGTGGGAGGAGAAGGGGGCTGTCCTGGAGCTGCTTCTCCCACCTGAACTTCTGGGCCCCACCAGCCTCTCAGGCAGCCCCCCAAACTTTGTGGTCCCCGATGGCAACCTGAGGGGTGTGGCATCAGGGTCTGGTCCCATTCCAGATGCTACTAGGAGACTGAGCTCCTATGTCGCTCTCACCCCAGGAACACATATGTGTGGAGGTGACCATCTGGGGACCACCGGACTCAGAGCTCTGACACAGGAAGCGGGAAGGCTGGAGGTGGGCCGGGTTTCTCCTACCTGGGGCCTGAAACCATCCCGTATTTCAGCACTTGAGATAAACTAACATCTATTAAACTCCTACTGTGTGCAGGTACTGGGGTAAGCACTGTGCAAACATTAGCCCACAGGGACCCCTAAGGAAGGCATCATGATCACAGCCCAGAATTGAAAGAGGCCCTGAGACCACAGGACTGCTGAGGCACCCGAAGTGTCCCCTTTACAAATCCCAACCCTAACTCCAGCTCCCCCCCAATCCAGCACACGGGCCCCTTGTCCCCAGAGCACACTCTGCCTGTGGGAGGGGCCCCCTCGGCAAAGCCCTGTTGCTGCAGTGTCCCGCGTCTCCAGGAGAACAATGCCCAGCTCTAAGGAAGCCTGCCTAGGACTGCACATGGTGGCTCAAGCCAGCAGGTGACTGAGTGCCCTCTCTACCTCTCCCCACTCAAGACCCACCAACTGGTGGCCTTGGACAGCCTTTGCCTCCCTGCTGACCACCAAGGGGCTGGGCCCTCGATAGTGACCTCTGGGCTGCCCTGCTCAGCAGCTCCCCACCCCAGGCCCCAGACGGCACCAGCAGGGGTGTAGTAACCCATCCATGACAGAGGAGAGCAGAGCCCAGGAGCCCAGGCCAGAAGAAGCTGGGTGGGGGAGTCCCTCTGTGGGGCTGGGCCACACAGGCCATAACGGCCACAACCAAGGGAGCAACGAGCAGCAGCTGGGTAAAGAGAAATTGCGCATCCCAACAAGACGTCTTCCTTAGAGGAGGCCGGGCACTCGGGCCCAGCGGCACCTTTGCCGGAAAGAGAGTGCACAGCCAGGTTGCCGTGAAGACACTCCCAAACTCACTCCACTGGCCCACGGGGCTCCAGACCTCAGGAGGAAGGAGCAGAGCCACAACTGACCGGCTGGCCCACCGTGAAGCTGACCAAGCCTGCACCCCTGAGCCTCTCTCAGGGCGCATAAGGCAAGCCTGGGGGGCCAGGGCCACAGACAAGCTGTGGGGGTCACTGGAGAGGGACGGAGGGCTGGGGGCAGGGGCTGGTCAGAGGGGGAGACACGGGAAGTCGGCCGCCCATTTGGCTTCTTGGACTCCTGTGTCTTTGCCTCCTGCTAGCCTGGGCCTTATTTGTCAGAGGGATGGAGCAACTGAGGGACGGCTGGCTTTTCAGTTTCCCAGCCAGCCATTTGCTGTGGCTACTCCCCAGCTTCAGGCCAGGCAAGTGCATCTTTGCACCCAGTGGACACAGAAGGGGCTGGGGCCAGAAGACCAGGCTCTCTGCAGGGCCCGGAGTCTGTGTGGAGAGCCCTGCGCCCACGCTGTGCAGACAACCTCTGCATCTCCGAGCTGACAAAGGAGCAGCCCTGTTGGGACTGCCCAGCCCGGGACCTTCTCGGAGGTGCAGCTCCGCTGGGTCAGGCCGGGCCCTCCCCCTCCCCTGGCAGGGACAGAAAGGGGCCAGTGTTCCCTGTGCGTGGGCACACGGCAGCTGTACCCTAGACCAGAGCATTCCCATCAGCATCAGTTAATAGCCACAGCCCCCACTCGGCTGGGAGCCAGGGGCAGCCAAGAAAGGGCCATCATTGTCCCAACCCTGAGGACCTGATACTCTTGCGGATAAGTTGGACAAACAGGGAGTGGCCTTGTCTGGAAGGAGGTTTCCCCTCCCGAGTTCTCTGGCTCTTCAAGGCTGGCCTCTCTCATCAGCCAGTCCAGCAGCCCCTCGGACTTCTGGTTGCTAACAGATGATGATAATGCGCAGCTATTAAACTCCTACTGTGTGCAGGCACTGGGGAAGCACTGTGCATACATTAGTCCACAAAGACCGTCTAGAGAGGGCATCATGCTTACTGTCCCCACTTACAGAGGAGGCAACTGAGGCTCCCGGAGAACCTGCCCAAGGCCACACAGCTGGGGAATGGCAGAACCTGTCCCCCACGCCTGTTACGTGAGTTAATCCTGCTCCCGCGGGGCCTCCCCAGCTTAGGTGGGGTCTTCCCAGGCATCCCCTGCTCTCCCTGAGGACTCTGAGGAAGGCTACCCTTTTCCAGGAGGGAAAAGAGGAAGAGAAATCAGGAGGCTGGCCCCAGCCAGCTCTGCCGTGCCCACGGCTCAGGGCTGAGGGAAGAGGCGGCAGTGAGCACCTGCCCCTGGGGAGCCCAGAGGCAGGCAGGCAGCGCAGGCTGTGCTGTCCACCTCTGGTTTGCTCCTCTTGGCCCTTGGGCTTCCTGAGTCCAGCCTGCCAGCCCCAGGCCCAGGGCCAGCTGGTGCCCGGTTGTGCCTTTCTCTGTATCGTCAGTGCCACCCCAACTTCTCTGCCACTGTGATGAGCCCTGGCACTAAGGAGAAGCCGGAAGCAGCAGCCACTGAGCTGAGGCAAGCGATCGCCTTGGGCTCCCCATAGGCCATACCACTGTGCCTCTCCCCACCCCAGCACCTGAGTCCTCAAGTCCCTACCCAAACAGACATCCTGGCCGTGGTTTACAGAGTGTGCGAGCTGGCCCTGCCCATGTCTCCAGCCTCATCTCACACCCCTCACCCCTTCTCTCTCCTGTGAGAGCCACACTGGCTGCTTCTTGGTTACCCAAGTATATCACAATCCCTCTCACCACAGGACCTTTGCACATGCAAATCCCTCTGATTGCAATTTCTCTCTTCATGCACACTCCTAATTACTTCTTCTCCATCCTTTTTGTTTCAGCTCAAGCACCATTTCCTGAGGGAGCGCTCCCTGAGTTCCGGGGCTAGGTCAGGTCCCCTCTTACTCTCAGAGCATTATGCACATCTGTTTGTGATTCAGTTCTTTGACTAATGTCTCGTCTGTCCGCACCGGACTGTGAGGTAATGGAGGGAGGACAGTGTCTTATCTGTGCACCGTAGTTTCCTAGCTCCTGGCACTGTCCCCAGTGTGTTGTGGGTATGTGATAAATATTTATTGACTCCTATGTAAACAGAGGTGGGACTCGTCCAGCCCACCTCATCACGGTGACATGAGGACCAAGAAAGCAAATAGACACCCAAAGACTTTGCAAAACATGAACACTCTGGAGGTGGGCTTTGGGTCTAAACCATATAAATCTGGGTTTGCGGGGTGGCAGACATATTCAGGTGGGGAAGTCATGTCATGGACACATGGAAGGCGTGTGAAATCTTAGGGCTAGACTGAAGGGATCAGGGCCCACCCAGGCTAGGGAAGCTTTCCGCTCTCCTTGGATCAATCTAGGAAGCCTTCCTGGAAGAAGAACCCCAGTTTCCTTGACGATGTGGCCAACTGCCCAGCCAAGAGTTCAGCGGGTAGAGGAGGATGCTGCTGCAAGCACACCAGATGTGAGCAGCCCTTTGCCCAACCCTGCAGCTCCCGGCCACGGAGCCGAGTACCTGTTCATCCACTTTGTGGGCGATAAGGGTGGCTCCCTCCTCCAGCTCTGCCACGCTGATGGGCCGGACCCGGAGCGCCACCTGGAAGGGAAGGCCAGGCCCCAGCGATTAGATGGAGAGGGCCATGCCAGGGCACAGAGAGGATGCCAGGACCCCAGGATTCCCCCTGAGTTCTCTGTCCAGCCATCCTGGCCCTCCTTTGTCTTAAGGAAAACTCAGTGGTTCAAGGCCACCACCTGGGTCGAGGGCAACAAGTCCACAGAACGTGACTGTGTCTGAGTCTATGAATTTCCCAGGAGCCCGTGCCTCAGGGAGAGCCCCAGGAGAGAGAGCTGTCTGCTCCTCCAGGCTCTAGTGGCCCGCCCAAATTAAGCACGGCAGCTCCCCCGGGGTTTGAACTTGGATCCCTCGGCACTGGAGCGGGCTGTCTGTGCGTCTGTGAACGACGCTCTGCCCCTGCAGGTGCCAGCACGGTGGGCGGTAGAAGGGGCCGGGGGCCCTGGTTTCGTCTCCTCCTCCTAACAACCTGTGACCACATTCCCACCTGAGGACAGGCCATGGGGGCTCCCTCCTCACTCTGTTCTCCAGCCAGTGAGCGATGCTGGCTCTTGATCCTGTGCCTGGGTCTTCCCGAAAAAACAGAGAGGGAGAGTGTTTCTTCTTCTGATCAAAGGGAAAGTCCTCCTGGGTGTGGGGGGTAACTGACAGGCCCTCAGCAGAGTGAGAACACCGCACTCTCAGAGGGACCTCCACTGCCCATGGGACCGTCTGTCCGGCTTCCTCAGCCAAACTCCACTGGTGGGAGGGGAGGACCCTCTGTCCCTGCCCCAGGGTGGCGGGTGGGGGCACACCCCACATGCCAAGGCAAGCCATTCTCAAAGAGACACTTCTAAACCGCCTGAGAGGATGCTCCAGAGGCTGGGGCTTGCTTGGGGGCTGGGCCCGAGGCTCATCTTGGGAGAGAGCTCGCCCTGCAGAGGCGGGTGTCTCTGGGGGTTGCATTATCCTCCAGTTACATCACCACCCACCTGCTGGTGATGAAGGCCCACTCCCAGATCTCAGAAGTTAGGGGATAGGATGGGCTGGGAAGGGGTGGTGGCCTTGGTGTCACTGAGTCTTCCCCCTTATCACACTGACCTGCCACTACTGATAATCAGGAATCTGTCTTCAGTCTCTACCTGGCCCCTATGGCCCCCCCACACACCTCTTCATCTGCCCCTGACGCGGGCGGTTCTGGGGGCCATCTGGGCTGCTTCCAACACTTCTCTGAAATATTTAGAGTTCTGGCTTGGACAGCATCTGCGATGCAACCCAATAACCAGCCACCCCCAACCCATACCAGCTCCTCTGGCACCTGGGGTCTCTAGTCTGTCTATTTGTGACCCCTCTCCCTTTACACTCCCACCCCACTGGCCCCGGTACCCTCTGTTTCACTAGGATATTCCCAACCTTCCTCCTCCTGGCAGGTAGGTCAAGCCCGCCCTGCCCCTGGCTTTTCTGGATCAGAGAGCAGAGTCTTGCCCCAGAAAACCATCTCTCTGCACAGGTTTTGGGGATGGGAGGGGTCCCCTGGCGGGAAGGTGTAAAGTGGGTGTGGGGTTGAAGGCAGGCTAACTTTAAAGGCCTCACTCAGAAGGATGGCCATGAAGCCGTCCTCCTCTCGACATCCAGGACCTCGGGAAAGTTGCTCTGGACAGTCGCAGCCCCTGAGCCCGAGCCTCCTCTTCGAGGCTGGTGAGGGAGGCCGACGGAGAGTCTGGGTTCCGGGGCCAGGGATGGGGGCGAGGCGGAGGGTGACGGGGTCTCACCATGAGTTGCTGGTCCTTGGAGTCCCCGCCGTCCTTCATGCTTGCGGCAGGTGGAGGGGCTCAGGCCGCGACGGCGGGCATGGCCGAGCCGCACTCCCGCCGCCGCCGGTCCCCGCAGCCTCGCCTGCGCCGCTGCTGCCTGACAACCCGAAACCAACAACGCGCCCGCGGCCAAGGGCGCTGACCGGGAGGCGGGGCAAGGGGAGGGCCCGCCGGCGCCGCCCCCTCCAGAGCCCCCGCCCCTCCGCGCCCCGGCTTGGAGTTGGCCGCCTCCGCCGGGAAGGCGTCCGAGCCTGCGCCGCTTTCCAAGCGAGTGCCCGCCGCTGCGAACCCCCGGCCCTCGGCGCGGCCCTGCGTCCCCCGGCGCCGCCGCGTCCGTTTGGCAGCTCTCGGCGCCTCCCCGCGCCCCGGCTCGCGGCCCGGCCCCCTCTCCCACGGCCCTGCAGGGGGCGCCCGGCCGGCCGCGCGGCTCGCTGGACAGAAGCTCTCCCTGCCCCTAGGGCCTCGCGCATCTGCTGCCTGCCTGTCTGTCTGTCTGACCCTCGGCGTCTCCAGGGCGGCGGCTGGCTGCCGTGTGTTTCTATGGGCGCTGCGTGCATCGTGGCTGTGGCTGGTGTCTCTGGCGTGGTGTCTTCACCCATTGCCCAATGACAGAGGGGTAAAGAGCTGTCCCTTTGCCCAGGCTGCCCAGCTCAGTGGTGCAGGGGAGCATCTATATATTACTGGGGGTGTGTCACGGAAGAGCCGGGTCAGTGTACTCCACTGTAAACAAGGCCCTCTCGGTGAACCCAGAATCTAGGTCAAGATGGTTGGGTCTGTGTGCCCTCCTGGCTCCCTGCCTGCTGGAAGAGCCACAATACAGTGCAAGAAAGCATAGGTCAAAGGCTGCAGTCTCCACTGTGGGTGATAACGCAGTTACACACTCGGAGCACAGGGGAAAGATTCCCTGCCCCAGGAGGCCCCCAGAAAACAGGATTCCAGTCCCAGCTCTGCATCCAACTTCCCAAACCGCCTGGCGCAGGTGTTTCCTGTCCCCTCTGGGCCTCAGTTTCCTGGGTGATGGTGCAGCTTCTCCTGCCTCTGATGGTCCACCCTGCTTGTCTTCTCTTGCCCCTGCTGAAGCTGAGCCAGGCAGCCCCCCTGCAAAGACTGGGCGAGGGGACCCCAGTGGGGTTCACGGCCCGTGGAAGGAGCTGGGTAAGGAGGAGCCGCTCCTCCCCCCGGGGTTTCTCAGACGGCCTGGCACACATCCAGAGGCGCAGCACGCTGCCAGCCTGTGCCCTGGGACGGGCTTCCCCGGTTGCCTCCGAGGAGCCTGTGTTCGGTATAGTTATTAATGAACAGCGGCAGGAAGCCGCCCGCGGCCTTGGATTTGATAAATAGATAAACCAAGCGAAGCTTGCTGGAAACCAAACACTCCTGCAGGCTTCCCAGGGCTCTGTCCTGTTCTCCAGCCCGGGCTGCCCGCCAGGCTGCACACCCAGGCTGGCCAGTGCTGCACGAGATTCAAGTGAGTCTGAAGATGTGTCATTTGGATAGAAATCGCCCTCCCGGCTTACGTGCAGACCCTGAATCTCATCTATTTGGATCAGCCACAGGAGGCCCCTGGTCAATCGGACTATAGGTGTTTTTTCTCTCTTTTCTGTTCCTCCACGTGCGTAAATCCCACCCAGGATGGACGATGGCGGTGAAACAAGAGAAGCTCTAAGCAGGAGGGCCCAGCCCATCTTCCTTGGAGACTCCTTGCAAAGTCGTCCTATTCTCCAACGTTCCCTCCGCTTCCCTTCTGTGTTTTGCTCGATGACCCCACTGCCCTCTAAGGGATTTTTGAATTCCTCTTTCCTCTCCTCTTCTGCATTCACGTCCTGGAGGTTCCACTTCTGTAGGTGTTTCTCCTCATTGTCCGCTCCTGGCCACATCCCCGGCTCCACCTGTTATCTTTCTCATCAGGGCAACACCACAGCTTCTTGCCAGGCTCCCTGCCTCAAAGGGGAGGCTCCCACATGGAAGTGAAAGCAGATACCTCGCTTTTCTTTTCTCTTTTCACCACCTCCTTTCAGCCCCTGCCCAGCCTCGTCTCCTCTCGCACCTGCCTGCTCGCTCTGCAGACTCAGGCTCCTTGTTTGTTCCCCAATGCGCACGGCTGCTGGCTCCTACTTTCTGGCCTTTGCTCAGGCTGGTCCCTCTGCCTGGTACACCGCTTCCAACTTCCGTCAGATTTCCCTCAGAGCCCTCCTCTCCTCCACAAAACTCTTCTTATGCCCTTAAAGGGCCATCAAAGGAAACCCCAGGAGGGTGGGGACCCGGGACTCACTTGGTGAGTGCTCAATACGTCCCCCTACATACTAGTACCGCCCCGGAATCTGATCGCTCATCCAATCCCATTGCTCTGTCCCTCCTCTGCATCCCCGCTGCCACTGCCCACAGGCTGAGACCCCGCAGTGTCCCATCTGGATGGCCACAGCAGCCTGCATAGTCTACCTGCCAGTTCCACTCATCATCGCTCTAAAAGACAGATCGGCCTTGTTCCCTCACTTGCCATGGTTCCCGACTGCCTTCCGTGTGGAGTCCGCCCCTGGCCCACTGGCCTGGAGTCCCGGCCTTCTCGATCTCACCTTTGGCCCTTCCTCTCCTCCCCGCTGCTCTGGCCCCGACCCCTGGAGGTCCACCTTCTGCTATTTGTCTGGCTAACGCCTTCAAAACTCATCTTACGCATCCCTTCTGAGTTCCTCGAGGTCTTCATTCATTTATCTGAAGTTTCCAGCAGGCGAAAGCTCCCTTACTTAATGAAAAGGCCACTGCTGCTCTCCTGAGAGTTGACATCATCAGTGACCGTTATTCCCACGGTGCGAGGATATTTCCAGTCAGAGGTACGTGATGTTCTCATCTCCCTCCAAACCCACCTGCGGTTGGAACCTACTGGTTTCAATGAGCCCTGAGCACTTTCTAAAGCCCTGTGACCCTCTAGGGCCCAAAGGACCAAAGTCATGTCCCCCCCCGGTGTACCCCACGTCCCCCTCCAGTCCCCATTGGTAAGCTGGACATGGCTGCTTTATAGCTTGGGAGTTGAAATGAGAGTAATTGGGAAACAAAGCATCCATTGAAGATTTTTCTCTTAAGAAGCCCCAGCAGGGGGACGGCCCAGTGGCCTAGTGGTTAAGTTCACAGGCTCTGCTTTGGCAGCAGCCTGAGCATGGACCTACATACCACTCATCAAGCCATGCTGTGGCGGCCTCCCACATGCAAAATAGAGGAAGATTGGCAGAGACGTTAGCTCAGGGACAATCTTCCTCACCAAAAAAAAAAAAAAAAAAAAAAGAAGCCTCAGCATCCTCTTCCAGGTTTGGGGTTCAGATGCTGAAGGGCTCCTGAGAAACCAGTTCACATATCATCCTCGTAGCTCTTCTGACTAACCCAGAACTTGCTGCCTGTGGTGAAGGCTGTCTTGGATGGCTACCAGAAGCTTCTCCGTGAGGGAGGTAATACACCCTGACTGAGCATTCACTTTGAACCCAGTTGTGGTGGTGTCATGCGTTATTTCATTTACTCCCCTAAGTAATCCCCCGACGTAGGTTAAGAGAGGTGCAGAAAGGTGAGTAACCTGTGGCCGTTGCCCAGCTCCAAGCTGCCATCTTCTCTCGCCCCACACCCCGATGTCCTCCCAGCCAGGCTCTGTGCGGCTTCCCTCCGGGCCGTCATCCTCGAGTGGTCTGGGGATGTTGTAAAAATACAGATCTTGTCATGCCACTCCTCTGCTTCTCAGTGATCTCAGGAGAAAGGTCAAAATCCTCAAGGGGACCTTCAGGGCCCTGCCCGCCTGGCCCTGAGTGTTCTCCAGGCTCCTTCCCGTCTCCCCAGCCTTCCACCACCTCGACTTCTCCCAGTTGGCCAAACGGAGCAGCACCAGGCGACTTCTCTCCTCTGCCTGGGGCGCCCTCTCCACTGTCCATCCCCATAATCACAGGTGTGCATACACGTGCTCACAGATGCACACGCGCGTGCACACACCCCACCTGGCTGCCTCCTACTCATTCTGGGTCTCCGCTCATTGTCATTTTCTCACCGAGGGCTCCCTGACAGCTCCCTCTCCACTAGAGTGTAAGTTAGTCCCTCCTATTATCCCTCTCATAGCACCCTGTACGTTCCCTTAAGGTGTCACTTTGTACAACCGTCATTCTGTGTCTGCGTATTTGTCAGCTCTCTGTCTCTCGAATTAGCTGACAAGCTCTGGGAGAGTAGAGTCTGTCTGGCTTATTCACCGCTCTGTGGCCAGTCCCTGGCACAGCGCTGAGTGAGGGCAACGTTACCCAGATGGCAAGCGCCTGAGCTGGGTGCAGACTTCAAGCCAGACCCTTTCACCTGCCTGTAAGCTCCAGAAAACCCTGCCTCTGTCCACCATCCTCAGCTTCATCCCGCAGGCCCTTGGCGCACAGGGTGCTGGCTCCTGGGTCTCTGGTTCTGGGAGCCAGGGAAGAGCCGAAAGGGGGTGCTGATCTGACTGTGTGTGCAACCA